ATAAAGGTGATTGCTTGCGACATCAGTTTTTTTGTTGAAAGCCGGATTCGACGTGAGAGATAGCTTTTATTGGCGAGGGGGGAAATGCACGGATGCTTTTTCTCCTCTGCTACATAGTAAGGTGTTTCTAGCAATTTAAGATGTTTTTTTGCGCAGTGTCCATAAATTACGAGCCCAAAGTCAACTTTTACATAATGACAGTTCTGCTTAAAAGTAGGTTTATTGTAAAAAATCATTCCAAATATTTTCAATGTATCAGTATAGGGGAGGAGTGTTAGACAAGGAGAGGGTTGGATGTATGTATTTATTTGTATTTTCTGCATATGTGAAAAAATTACTTTTTCAGCTAAAATCTGAGCTCCTGAAGATTTGGACCAATTGATTAGATCGTTTAGTATGTTAGAAAAAATAATTTTTACTTGCGTCAAGTCCTTAGTCTTAGAAAAAATTAAAATATCATTAGCGTATTTAGTTTGGCAATAGGAATAATAATAGCAGTTTCCCACTCTTGATGATATAACCCTTGAAATAAAATGTAGTTATGGAGTTTAATGACTCTATGTTTGATGGGATACGGATGATTTTTTAGAACGGGGTACGGGATTTTCTCTGCACCAGGGCTTTTGCCTGTCATCGAAGAGATGGTTGGTCAAACTCTTAAATAGATATGAGTACGAGAAAATTGTGAGAATCTTCGGACCAAGTGGAGGCAAATAAACATATACACATCGCTCATTTACTTTAGTAGTGTCATTATCCAAAAAATACAAATTTTGAGTTGAGTATGCAGAAATTATCGCTACGTCTTCTTCTATTTCGTGTAAAAATATCAAAGCTGTATCGATTAAGCCCTGTATGCAGCTCTCAAGAAAACAGTCAAGAAAAAATTGCCATTATTTCGCGTGTGTGTTCAAGGAATTTTGACACTTTTTGATACTTCACAGCCTGTTGCCTCACTCTTTCCTCAAGAAATAATGGAGCGGGCATATATTTCTGTTGCAAAACTGGGTTGCCTTATGCTCTTTCTTCACAAAAAACTTTAGAAAACCGTAGTAGAAAGCGTAGTAAATTTCTTAAGAACTGCGTACTGCCTTAAGGAAATTTGACTCAAGAAAATTTCTTAGCCATTTCTTGTACGCCATTTTATATGGAGTTTTTGCTTTTCTTGAGAGCTGCATACAGGCCTTTACCAGAATCTCACTAGAATAAAATATGTATTCATTTTTAGTATCGGCGTATATGTAAATTCAAAACTTTAAAACCGTCTTTCTCGAGTTTTGATTTTTTGAGTTATGAAATTATTGTAGTAAATGAGCGGACATGTATATACCTGTAAGCTACCGGCCGAACCCGATCTTAGAATAAACTATTTTTGTAACTCTCATCATCAGTCCAACTGAAGCTACGCAGTCCACAAGATTTGGTTTCGGTTGGACATCGCATTAGGTGGAACAAGTTTAGCATGGGCAAAACTAGTTTGACCTAAGATCGGATTTTACCGGAACATATACATACATGCATCGGCACATGTAACTAACCCAGTCTTTATTTGACCTGCCACAAAAAATGGTAATGAAAACGATTTTCCAGCAAAATTGTGTAGATAGAGGATTTTGCTTTTGTAACAAAATGTTATTGCAGATAGTGGATTTTTCAAAATGAGAATATAATACCATAAAAGCAAAATTTTAAGTTTGGCATTATTGTCATGGCTGAAGGATAAATAAGAGCTCACGTTACCATCAAAAACTCATTTTCATCAAAATTGTAGATAGAGGGTATTGAATATAAGCCCTCGATATACTGTTCACTTCCAAATACCCTTGGATAAAATTTTAAAACTATTTAGGGGTTACCCTTGAATAACTCATAACTTTTATTGAAAGATCAGGATTTGTATGAAAGGAAAAAGCCGGTTTGTTCGATAAAATATCCGGTTTATTCGAAAAATCACATTTTTCAAAAATCAAAATTTCAAAAAAACGCTTATAGATATTTACATAGAAAACCGGTGAAAACTGGCTAAAGCTGCCTTTACATGAGGCAAGCGATTTTTTGAATCACGATTTACACGAGCGATTTTTCTTAAGCAATGTTGAATCGCTTAAAAAAATTGCCGCATGTAAATCCAGCTTAACTCTTCTGTCGTTGTTTCAGTTGAGTAAATGTGTCTGAAAGCACTTTAAAGGGTCTGCCGTTATACATACATATATACGATGGCATGAAAAAAATTTCCAACTGGGATTTTAGAAACCAGAACGCACACATATAACAGCAGTTTAGGTTACTTCATATCTGCCGAAGTTCAGTTCCGTCTTCTAGATTATCCCTTCGAAAGAATGGAATGGATTTAAGAACATTTTTGAGTTTTAAAGCACACAATGGCCAAACAAATTTATTCTCTACTTCCTTAGGTTTCTTTATGCTGCGCCATCCCTTTACTATTTTGCGGTTTTCGCAATTTAGCGACTTAGTTTCAATAGTTTTAAGCGTGTGCTCATGCATAGCATGTGTGCGCGCGTGTGTGTTCTGTGTGATGCTTATCTGCGGACTTGCTTGATTTATCGCCTCTTGTAAACTGTCACTTTGGCGTGGTTTAGTGCTAAACTCTATTTTACGTGATTTATTGAGTTGTAATCACTGTGAATTTATTCGAAAGCACTTCATACCCCCCCCCTTATCAATTTACGTTAAAATGGGATGAAAAGAATTTTGTAATCTTGAACTGATTTGTGTTACAAAAACAAAGTTGAGTGACTAATATTTACGAAATACTTTAGGAATTCATACATTGTGGTTTGAAAAGTGTCGTTCAGTCGGTTATGATAATTGTATGTGTTATATGTAATTCAGCATTAGGCAGAGAGAGATTTAACGCTGTCCTTAGCTATTTATACAAAATAAGAGAAAACTTAAAAACGCTCAGCTTACCCATGAGAAAGCGTGAAGAGTTTTTTAATGCTTTCTATACATTTTATATACTTAAACGAGAATCAAGACATATCTCGCAGAGGAAGTAACAGCTCTCTTTAATCGTCACTGATCTAGGGTATCAAGGTTGAACCCTTTTCTGTGGGGCATAGCTATCATCCATTCTAAAAAATGTATTGATTGTCAACAAAAACATATATAGGAAAAGACTTTCATATAAAAAAAAAAAAAAACTAGTTAGGTGCTAAATACTTTTTATTTTCGGATTTTTAATTTTTTTTTTTCAAATCATAGCTTTACAGGTGATACTTTTTTGACAAAAAAAAATGGAAAAGTGTACTAAACAAAGTTTGCTTTTTGTTTAAAAGTCTAAAAAAACTGAAAGACGGAACATATCAAAAATTTAATAAGCTAAAAATTGCTAGAAAAGTAGTACTATTTCTCAAAGTATTCTCGACTTTTCTCTCATTTAATACTCTTCAATTTTTCTGTCTATAAATCTTGAACTCTACGAAGGGTTGAGGTCACCTTTTCGCTTTGTACCGATTAAAGCGAAATTATTGAGTATTGAATTTCCAAATCATTACAAGACCTGCTGAAAAGTAGCACATTCTTGTAGACTGCTAAATGTTTAACCCTTTCAGTACAAGCGTCCAATATTGGACACAAGTTTTTTGTGTGCTTATTAATGCTCTTTTTTTAGTAAATAAGAGCTTTTTTTGGTTAAAAGAACAGTTGTTTTTTGAAAATTATATCATTCTTTATCGCTTTTCTTTTATTCTACTTTCCTTATACAGTTGAACGTATTCTTTTGACTAAAATGAAAAGTGTCACAAAGGCCAATGGTGCACATATTACATATGTATTTAAAAAAAATATACTTTTTTCGGTGGAATTGAGATACGATTTTTTTTAATATTGATATTTTTAAAATCATCGATGCCTTTGGAGAACCACCCAAATCGCCGTTGTGGTTAAAATTAGATTTGGTAATCATGAACTCCAGGCATCGACATATTTGTAAAATAATAGCTAGGAAAAATATTCGAAATTTTTTTGGAAAGGTGTTCCTCGCAAAAATACTGTGGTCAGCATAGCTGGAGTTGGAGTTATGAGGGCTATTTTTTGATGAAAAAATTACATCGACGTCGATAATAGGGCCGATTGTCTATCAAGTCAATGCCTGCAAATAAGAACATTGACAAAGAAAGAAAGTTACAAAACAAAAACCGTAAACTGTGAAATTTGAGTGCCGTGAAATAAGCATTTTTGCAATTGCTCGATGGGCGGTTTTGCAAAGGCATCGACGAAATATATTTCGCAAAAAAGTTAAAATAATTGAGCTCACTCCCCATTTTACAATTATAGGGCAATACTGTATAATATAATGTATAAAATTTTTGATTGTAGTGGTGAAATCAACGACCCAAAATTCGCCGATATAAAAATTTTCAGATCAAAGGCTGCTTTCTGGTCCTGAGAGGGTTAAGTGAGTTTTTTTTGTTTGTTTTTTGTCTTGTTTTATTGGAATGAGGTTATTTTTTGTGTGTTGTCCTTATCTTTCCTCCAATTTTTTATTATACAAATTGCGTCCCTCAAGCAATCTCTCACAAACATAAACTCGCATTTACACTAAAACACCAACATTTTGAACCAAGTTTATTCATATTTGTAGCAATATTTATTTCTATTTACCATAAATCTAACTGTACATATACATATATACACAAAAGTTGATGAACTTCTCTTTTTTTTTAATTTCTAATGGCAAATAATTATTGAAACCAAAAAATAGTACGCTTCTTATCGACTTTGGTTAAAATTGCTTTTCAATGTCAATAAAACATACATATCTACAAATATACGAAATATCTATGCATATGTACATTTACTATAAATATGTGTGTGTCTTTTCTACTATTTTCCGCCGTTAATTTGCTTTCCGCTTCGTCCCAAAACTTAAACGATAAACCGCATTCCCGCCCAACGCATTCGTGATTTTGTTCAAACAACTGCGCTTCGCTTCAATTTAATAATTCGCTTTGCCAACACCCATCTCCAATAAACAGCACTGGCCGCAACTTTAGCGGTGTACCGCGTCGTCTACTCGACGGCAGTAATCGTCAAATCTCCTCAATTGCACTAGGCGCCTCAACATCGCCCTCGGCAGCAGCAGCGGCGGCGGCGGCGGCGGCGGCGGCGACTTCGGCGGCGAACATCAGCTCTTCGCCCTGCGGTACACTCGGCAGCATTAACTCCACCCACTCGGCATCCTCGTCCAGCGGCAGTAGCAGCAGCGGCGCCGTCATCACCTTTCAGTGCGCCGGCGGCGGCCAATCGGGCATTGGCAGCAGCAGCGACACGGTAGACGGCATTGGCTATAGCGACGGCGGCGGTGGCCATCCCAACCAGTTGCTCGGCTCACCCAGCAATAATGGCATTGTTTGTGGAGTTGGTGGCGGTGGCGGTAGTGGTGCTAACAGTCCGCGCCTCGCTCCCAGCGCACTCACCTCTGCTTCCGCTACAACCGAGGCGATCAGTTCTTTGGCAGCCAGTCCTACGGACGCCTGCAGCATACGTTCAAATCCTTCGGCCGCATCGCTTTTGCTAACCACCGCCACGATGGCTGCGGCCGAAGCAGCAGCGGCGCAGATGGCGGCGAGCAACAACTCGGGTTTGAGCGCTTCCGGCGCGACACTCTCGCCGCTCGCGACTACCCAGATCATACGGCGGCCCAGCATTACAATGTGCGTTCGCTGGGTGACTTGAAAGCGAAGAGGCCTTCGTGCAGGGCTCTCTTTCTCTTGACACAATTTTGTAGTTGATGTCCGCGATTGCTAAAATACTTTTTGTTTTTATGTTTCGAGTTCTAAGATTTTTGTAGCTTTGAAAACGATACGTTCTTTGCGTTTTTTTTTCGCTATCTTTTTTCTTCGGAGTATGCTTTGCAGTTGGTAATTATTTGCTAAGCTCGTGATGAACTTCTTCTGAGGAATGGATTTCTTGTTTCAGAATGCGTTGGCATTGCATTATTTTGTTTTTATTCCAGCACCTTTTGGCATGTGCGGTAAATTTTTATGTATTTTTTTTTTTTTCTTCTTTTGATGCTATGCGAACTTTGGAATGCGAATATTTTTAAGAATTGCAAAATTTTGCAATTTGTTGAACTATTTTTTACTCAGATACTTAAATTTTCTCCCCATTATTTAATCTTTTAAAACATGTTTTGTGAAAGCGGTTTTGAGCAAGATATATCAATAGGCAAAATAAGTAATTGCAACTTAATTTCTAATTTCTAGTTCTTGGAATGGAAGTTCGTATTTGATTTTATTGAAACTAACTATGACTAAGGAGGATAAGAAAATACTTTAGATGAATTAAATCCATACACTGCATGTCCCCTTTTTGCCATAAATAAATCAATGAAATCTTTAAAAATTATCATACATGGAACTCTATGGAAATAGTGTCCAGTAATGCTTGTGAGTTCTCGAAAGCAGTGCTCGATAGAACATCTCCAGTGTTCTCGGACACCAGTATTGGAACAATTATTGAACTTTAGAAAATTTAAGGGGTATTCGCTTTATTAGCAAAAAGCATCGAAAAACTCGAAAGCCCAAAAAAATTTGTCTGAACTGCAAACATTTTTAAGAAAAACATTTTAGAGCAAGGCGAATTCATATAAGGTGGTGTTACCAGAGCTGCTGATTTCAAGGCGAATTAATACTGATTGTCAATAGGATGTGTTTGTTGTATTTTTGTTTTGTTCTGATTGCCAATGGGAGTATAATTTGTTAGTGTAGTTTTTTTTGTTTTTGGGCTGACTTTTCCAGTTTTCGAGTTTATTTTCAAAATTTCGGAAAATCGTGTGTTACGTTGAGTTTTTTATGTAGGCATGCTCCTTGTCGAAATAATGCTTCTCCTTAGAAATGATCCAAGTACTTGTAATGAATGGGTTTAAATTTACATTTTGATCTATTTTTTAGTGAATGCATTTTGATAAGATGTCTAAAAATTTAAAAGAAATTAAACTGAAGTTTTAAAATTTTTTTTTAGTCACATTCGTTTGCATATATTGTTAGCTTAGAGTGGAAAGTTTGCTAAGTCCATTTTTGCAAAATTTGCAGTAGAGAAAAAATTCTTATAGCCATTTGATTCAAGTAAGTATTTCGCAAAACTGTGAACACAACATTTCGCATATTTAACGCAAAGAAAAACTCACCACCAATCAGAAGTATTCGATTTTTATTAAAAAAATCTATCGTTTTGGCCTTATCGAATTTTCGAGACCTCTTTGCCTTTCCTTGAATTTAACGAGAAAAAATAAAACAAGTAACATAATCCTTTTCGAAACGATGTTTTTTTTTCTTTCTCTGCCTCTTAGTTTATCAAAATTTGACTTTTCATGAAAATGGGACTTAGCGACTTTTCACTCTAAGCTAGCGTATGCTGTTTATATATTCAATCTTACTTTTTATTCTTTTTGTTTTCTTCGTTTTCTCTTTTTTATTTATTTTTTGTTCCATAAATTTTTTTTTTTATTTAATTTACTTTTTAATGTTTTTACTTTTTTTTGGCAATTTTCGAATTTTTTAATCTACATTTTTCAATTATTAATTTTTTTATCGATTTTAATTTTTCCCGTTTTTTAAATTAAATATTCTTTTTATGTTAGTCATTCTCCATTTTCAATTTAGAAAGAACTTCTGTTACTTTTGCCCTTCGTGCGAGCACTCTATTTCGTTTTGCCTAAACGAAGTTATTTAATACTCTACAGTGTGCTCGCAGTTTCGTTTTTATTTGCCCACTCCAGGCCTTACGATGTTTTTTTTTTTAATATTTTTTAACCATATTTCTAACAAAAAGCTACATTTCACTTTCTTACTAATTTCGTAAAATAATCAAACTAACCCAAAAAAAAAAAACATTCTCTCATCAAGTCTTGAAAAGTTCGTTCTTGTTTGGTCCTTGTTGAAAATTTTTTCTGTTTGTTTTTTAGTTATATTTTATTATTACTGGTAAATTATTATAAAGTTTAAAGGTAAATACTAATTGAATTCATTTCCACGTGGCAGTTTTCAAATAGCACAAGTTATTTGTCTCCTCAATGCCTATTGGAAACTCAGCATTAGACCAACTTTTCAAACTTAAATTATTTGTTGTAATTGTTTGCATTCTCTTGTGATGTCTCGCATTTTCAAGCTGAAATCATTCATTTGTTGTCGAATAAAATTTTCATTTTCATATTCAGCACTGACCACGATTCACCACACTCCAACTTGTCAACACACTTTTTGTCTTGTGTCACTCCACCAATCTTCCCACCTACATCACATTTGTAACTAGAAAAAATTCATATGCTCGTAGTGCCATTTCTTTTTTTTTCGTAAACACGATTCTTTATTTATCTCAATTTTCTACTATCTACGCATAGTCTGTTTTCGTACTTACATACATAGTTTTCATACTTGCACACCTTTTTGTAGCCGTTTGCATAAGTAGTCTAAGTAGCTGATTAAGAAAACCCCGATTTTTTTCATTAGTTTTTAAATTCATTTTTACAAAAACAGGACATTTTTGCATAAATACATAAATAGATGTTAGTTATATTTTTATTCAAATTAATTGCATTCTAATTTTATCTTCATTATTTTTTCTGCTTTTTCAACATTTTCAACAACTATCTGCTCGTGGTTAATTTCGAAATGTGCGGTGGAACTGGTGACCGCTTGCTATCTGGCACATCACTTCGTAATGCCATCCTTTCGATACCATTTGCTTTAGGAACCCCAGTTCCGGTTCGTTAGTCATAAGTGAAACAGGATCTCTAGATCGCATGAAAAACGCGGCTGAAAAACGTAAAAAGGGGCCGCTGGATGACGGACCCCGCGTTTCGGATCGTGTCGAGGAGACGCGTGTCAATCCCAATTCGCTAATTGATGAGATTTTGAAGGACACCAAATTGGATCAATTAGCCGAATCGGCGGAGAGTGAGTAGACATGAAATTGTGAACATATAAATAAAATCAAATTAAAATTGTACACATATTCACAGCATCTGGCCTGCAATTGTATATTGCACGTGATGGCACCGCATCGCTGGGTAGTCATGAGGTGAAAGCTCGCGTACCAACTGGCGCCTTCAAGCAGGTGGTCATGAAGAATCCAAGATAGTAGCGTAAATCGTAAAATTGTAAGAAGCAAGAAGACTACAAACTACATAACTATGATACCGCATACATAAAAATACATACATACATACATACAAACATATGTACGTGTAACACAGCAACCGCAGCAACAGTATAGTAAAGCTACCACAGCAGCAGCAGCAGCAGCAAGAAAAGAACGAAAAGAAAAAATAATTAAGAAAAATGCAAAACTAAATAATAAATAAATATAAAATTATTTATAGAATAAAAACAATCCAAATGCTAAAGCTACATTAACTATATATAATGCAATGTAAGCCAGCAAGCCAGTAAAAAATAAGCAGCAAAAATTGTACGAGCAGCAAAAAAAGAAATAAGCCAATCTACTAACTAGAGAATTTAAATCAAAACATGCAAACATAACCATCTACAGATTTGTATACATTCATCACACACTTCATTCATCACATAGCCTCAAGTTATAAACTCAACGGTAGCATCTCAAGACATTAAGTTTTTATGTATAAGCGCGACCGAACGGCAGATTACGGAAACCGAACGCGATCGCGAACGTATGAAAGAGTAAAATGAAAGCCATCCATCCATCCATGCACTCACATTTTACATCACCATTCACCTCAAGCCACCACAAATTCGATTGATACTGCAAAAAGTAATCGCGCGCGACTTTATAAGCCGACAACAAAGCTAAAAAAAAAACATTCGTGTATTCTCAATACCCGTATACAAAACTTCAACGAGCAGGCGCTTGATTGACATGTAGTCTATAGAAATGACGAGTAAAGTATTCGTGTGGCAGTATCACAAAGTTCGTGCAAAACACAATTCGACAAGTGAGTTATAAAGAAGTAGTAGTTGGTTTAAACGGAGTAGTGTAGTAGTTAGTTGGATACGACTTACGTTTTGGAAATTTAAGAATTTATTAGCGGTCTCCCTTTAAATGAAAAAGAGACTCAAAAGCCTCCAAGCATTGACTGAACTGTCAAAATTTGTATGAGAAATATTTTCGAGTCTCAAACTTTTCAGTTCTTCCGAGTGTGTGGGGATCGGGCAATCGTATAGGAATTTGTTATATAGGCAAAAGGCTACAAGTTTATGAAAACAAATCTCTACATATGTTCGACAAGTTTCGTGTGATCTTCGTTGATTTCATTTTATTAGTAGAAAATATGTAGGGCCGTTAAGAAGCATTACAGTTGCGTCCTGGAAATAAGAAAATTACAATTACATATTTTTTGAAGTGACCTTATGGCAAGCGTACATACTTCCAGATCTAATATTTAACCGACTCTCTTAAACTTGAAAAGCTGGAAGACTCGAAATTCTGAAATGTTTTCATACAAACTTTTGACAGTTTCGAAAAATTTTCGAGACCTTAAAGGTTTTTGGAGCATTTTTACCGTTTAAGGAGGAAATACCTTATTAACTTGTATTGTAAAAATGAGTATTCTTCTGAAAAATATCTATATACCGGGTAGGCTCTATTGACGATATCCAATAAAAATTCCTTATTCCAAAAATAATGAAACAGAAGAGGTTTGAAATCTAACTTTTCGGATTTGTGCATTTTTCAACAAGAATTCATAGTTATAGGAAAAAATTTACATGCTCTTATCTCTTTAGGCGAAAAACTCATCTCCTTTTAGGTTTACATTTTTGAAGCGAGTGTTTCGTTTGTGATCGTGATTGTTCGTTTTTTCGCGTAATCTAATAGGCTTCCTTATTAATAAAGCTATTATTTCAAACATAACCACAAAAATTCAAAATTTTACAATTAGCAAATTTTTGGACTATCTGCAAATTTCAAAAAAAAAAAAAAAACCCTACAAACTGCGAGGATTCAACCCGGATGTCTATAACACTTTGGTGATTTTAAATAGTCTAGCAACTGTTAATCAATTGCTGTTGTTGTAATTTTTTTTTGTTTTTTTTTTTTTGTTAAGTAGCACAACATGTGATGTGATGTGCTGATTTAGCTTCCATGACACTAAATTTGTCGTGAATTTAATATTTATTAAATTTTTTCAAGATCAAGAGTTTAATCAACCGTACGTTCGATTTTGCTACGCAATAGAAATATTGGTATGCTGTTATCCGCTTTTTCGTATCGTTATTTCGAAATTCGGTGGCCACTTCGGTAATTCGTAATGTTCGTATGACAGAATCCAACGTGGCTGTCATTTTGAAGAATTTTGCGGAAATTTTGTATGAAGAGTAAATGGTGTCGGAGCTGTAAGCGCACAAATAACTAAAATTATGTAATTTAAATAGTGCTTAAAGAGCGCCAAATTCAAATTATGGCCGTTTCCAATACCACGTTGATAACTTCCTACAGCGAAGCACCGCAAAATTGCCATAGAGAAGCCACTGACGAAGATTTTACAATTAGCCGAAACTGTTCCTCCGCAACACTTAAAATGAAAAATAGAGCAGTAGCATCTCTTAACCATTGCCTTTGCCCATTTATGCAATTGAATGGTCGGCGCGAATAACGTTGTAAGTGACAAGATTATAATTTTGCAGAAATAAAAATAAAATGAGTTTAATGACGCACATATGTAGATAAGCTCATTTGATTTGGTTTTCTATTTTTACGGTACAGGACTATTCAATAAACTTGCTCTTAAAGTATAAAGTATATAATGTCTGCAAACCCAACTTGACAAGGGATGACGGAAATTCGTTCCAAAATAAATTATAAAAGTTTAATGTAAAATGTACATTATACTTTTATATCGGCAAAGTTAAAGAAACTTGTCTGCCTACAACGTTATTCGCGGCGACCATTCAATTGTTCCCAAAAAAGCTTATGCAGCGACTATAGAATCCGTAATAGTTTTTTAAAACTTCCTTACAAATTTCACTCTTCACATGCAATGATATTTGTTTATTTATTTCTGTCAAAAAAGCTTTTCAAGAACTTCGAGCTTTCGGTTTTTGGTTGCCAATGCATACCATTTTTATATTTTGCGGAGCGGAGCTACGACTTCATAATATACTTAAAGTCGGATTTCAGCATAGGGGTGTTAATACAGAAGGCCATAACAAAAACATTTAACTTTTTTCTCCATTTATTTCTAAATTATTATTATTTTTGGTATACGGTAAGCGTGTCTTAAAATGTGTGTGTTTATCTGTTTAAATAAAATAAAAAAAAAAAACTATTTTTATTTAGGAATGAAAGTTATATCAAATTGCTTACTAATTTTGTCTGCTAAATCTATCGAATGTAGTAAATTGTGTAGGTACTAAACATTTTGGCATTTGCTACAAAAATGAACTGAAATTTTAACGTTTTTTTCTCAAATAAGCAAAAACAAAAAAAAAACATAAAAGAATAGCTGGGTTAAATACAAAAACAAGCTACAAATACGCGAAAAAAAATACAAAACTATTGAAACGAGTACAACTTTTGCTTGAATTTAAACGTTCTTGTTCCGCTTGATCGTTAGGATCATTTAGACTCTGCTGCTGAAAATATGCAATTAATACTACTAATTACATAGGCGTACACGCTGTAATACAAAGCTGCTGCAAAAATTGTGAAAACTATAAGTAATAATTAACTAGTTAAGCTATTTAAATACAACAAAAATACGCAGTGAGGAAAAACAGCGCGCGCATCTACTTACATACATACATACATACATCCATACGTATTATTATAGCGCTGAGAAGAGCGCGTGCATGCGTTATTCATTCTCATATTTCACTTGCATGCATTTTTGGCATCTCCTTAGACTGTACGTCTTCTCAATTCAATTTGTTTTTCGCATATAATTGCATACGCTTACATATTTACATACATACGTTATTTGAGAAAAGCCTTTAGATTTTTTTTTTTTTTTTTTCAGTTAAATTGCGAATTTTAGGGTTATCGTCAGGCAAATAAAAACCGCTGATCACATTTCCTATTCATTTTACATTTTATGTTTTCTAATTTTATATTAAAAAAAAAAAAAAAACAAAGATTACCAACTTCCCACCTCCGCAAGCTTCTGTGACCACACTCACACATCCATACGCGTATTTTTCGTACAACAACAACACATTTGCGCGGTTTACATTTACCTACCTGCGACCATTATTGTACGTTTTCTAGTGCATACGGACAGACATACCTATATATGTATTTCATATGTTGACCTATTTAAAGAATATATGTATATACATACATACATACATACATGTATATATAATAATCCTGCCTAGTTCTTAAAATCCAAAACAAAACCAACACAAATGATTTAAATAAAAACGTGCGTGTTTATCTGTGTAAATTATAATTGTTTAGTTGATATTCTGCTCTTCGAGATTTATTGAGAAAAGATTAATAAATAAAATAAATGCGTACAAGCAAACGTTAAATAAAATAATTAACAAAAAAATTATTAAGCCTAAAAATATCAATTAAAATTTAGTTGTTAGACGTAGTTAGCCTTTTAAAATACATATACATATAGATACATTAATTTAAATACATACATATAAACATACATACGTACATTATAATAATTACTATACAACAAAATATAATAAAAATAATTAAAAATATAAAATCAAATTTATAAATTAAATTGAAGCAAATCTTACAATTAATTAAGAAATGGCTTACAAATTGTTTACAAACAGCGCATAGAAGTAAAAACAAAGCAAACTATTTGCAAATCAAAACTGAGTAAGGCAAAAAAAAAAATCAAGTTATACTATAAACCTAAATGCGTGAATGTTTTTCCTTCGCTTCATTACCCTGCCCTTCAACAAATAATACTTCAGGGCAGTGTAATAAATTTTTCACATTTACCTACGATGCCCGAGCTTAGAAAGAGGGCCGTTAGCAAATATTCGTGAATTTGGTGGTGACAACAGATATCTCTATGTGTTTTTATGCAAGATTAACAACAAAACAGTTTTTGCATTATAAATATCGCGCTCTATCCACGAAAATAACGTAAAGTTTGATTGAGGCGATTTTCTGGGCGATTCAACATTGCTCAAGAAAAATTGCTCCTGTAAATGGTGATTCAAAAAATCGTTTACCTCAAAGTATACGGCAAGTGAACTTTTGCCGGCGATAATCGCCTTTCAAAAAAAAATCGCCTCATTATTTTATAGCCTATGCAAGATCAGATTTCTAGGGATAAGGTACAAGAATCGTATTAAAATTCTCCGTGCAGTTTCTAGTCTTAGCTAGGTAGCGCCAGGCTCCAGAGATTATGTAAAGCCGTATTTATGATCTGATTTGTTTCAAATTTGGCATATATTGAATTGAAATATAGGAAGACATAGATCTGCAAAATATGCAACCGCTAGGTGGCGCTGAAGTCAAAATAAAAAATATATTCGATATAAGATTCATGTTTTATTTGCGTTAGAAATTCGTGTAAAACAGTATTACCAACCGATTTAGTAGCGCCATGTCAGATACTTCGGCTGATAAAAGAAACGGGAAAGGGTTTTGCATTTAAAATCTTGGAAAATTAAAACTTAAATACTCTTGTGGCCACACAAACCGTACCACCGCTTAAAAAAAAAAAAATAAAGCAGAATTTTTTAAATTAATAAAAACATATTTTTCAATATAGTTAGTTCACACTGTAACAGAAACTGTATAAATAAAAGTTTCGAACTTTGTAAAAAATTTAGGAAACTTCATCAAGATTTTAAACTTTTTTTAAGTTTTTGGAAAAATTTCGGTTATGCAGTTTAATAGCCCATTTAGTTTTAGTATAATAGAATTTTCGATGATTTTTGATAAATTTTTTTGCCGGCGGTGTTGTATAGTTTTTTACATGGGAAAAGTGCGCAACGTCGTATGAACAAAAAAAAAAAT